AAGACAAGCACAAAGAGAAGCAGTCCCTCGCTTCCCCCCGCACACACAAGTGGTCCTGCCAGTTGAGTGAGTTTTCAAAACTTTTCCGAAGTTAATTTGACACATTTTGCTTGTGGCTTCTCATGCTTTGCTGACTTCAGATGTAGACAAGTTCTCACTGTAACATTTTATAGTGATTCTCTCCACTTAAAATAAGGCAGTGTGCTGCCAATGCCAGAATCCAGGCTATATTAAAATACTTATTTCTGAGATGCAATTGATCCATAAAGTTTCACTATTACTGTGCAATTTAACTTTCGAAATTGGGAAATTCTACTATACCGACAGGGCTTAAAGTCCTCAGTTGCTACGACGGATTTCCGTCAATTGGAAAAAATGAGGGGAAAATAAATATGTAGCGCGTTGTTGTTCCTGTCTATGGCTCACCGTGTATGTGACCACAAAGTGCGTATATCTGCGTTCTTAGCTGAACAAGACCTGCCGCTCACTCTGTCGCAGCCACTAGTGGAGCTCATCAAGTTGGTTGATAACAATTTATTATTTTTATTATTTGAGAAATAAAAACTTTTTTTTTTAAGTTATGTAAAAGGTTATCACAGAGTCAAGTCTTGTAAAAGCATTAGATTGAAAACATTGAAGGTTAAAAGTTAGGTCGGGTTTATTCCGTTATTTTTCAGTAAATATTGAAGTTATGTAAAAAAAAGAACAGGGTCAAATATGATGATACCAGAGAATGGTTTCGCTAACTTGACTGATGTCATGTGATGTCACATTTCTCTTGGCTGTCTGATTAACCTCTGCTTTAATTCATGTTCAGCAACAATTTAGCTTTAGTTTGAAAACATTGAAATTTCATTAAAGTGTGTAAATAATAGAAATGTAGTTCAAAATTGCCTTTCTTTAAATGCAGATGTCTGGGACAAGTAGATATTTTTTGAATGGACAAATAAAAGAGAATTTTACTTGCCCGACCGGACAAGTAGCCTGATTAAAAACGTCAATTACAAAAAAATAACTAGGGAATGACTAAAACGAGAGAATTTTTACAATTATTGTATGTTGCAATCGATAATGGACCCAGATGTCTCTTGGTGTACTCTAATGCCAATCCATACCGTTGTAGATTAAATGTCTGTCGTCTCAATTTTTTTTTTTTTGTAAAGGATGTAACTTTACATGCTCTCCTGACTGGTTCCTGCTTTTGTTTTCCACAGCTGAGCTGGACAACATGTCAAGTACTGAGCGCATTTCATTCTTGCAAAAGAAGTTGCAGGAAATCAGGAAATACTACATGTCTCTCAAGTCTGAGGTGGCTTCCATCGACAGGAGGCGGAAAAGGTTAAAAAAGAAAGAAAGAGAAGGTAAATTTGTATTTATTTTATTTAATATGAATAATTTATTACTTAATGATGAGGATAATGTAATTCATTTTATTAAAAGTAATTATCAATTCCATTTTAATATTATAATTTTATAATAATTTTTACCATTTATTTTAGCTGATTGTCAAGTTTAAAGAATTTGAAAACTGTTAGTCAAAAATGCAAATAGCTTTTGGGTTTCTCGATGTCTTTTCTTTTGCAAATGATTAACCTCTGACTTCTGATCAATAGTGTCCCACACCACAGCGTCCACATCATCAGGCTCGTCCGACACAGGCATGAGCCCGTCTTCAGCTTCCCCCACGCAGAACACTGTGGCCGTTGAGTGCAGGTGATGTCACGCCCGTGCCCCGCCCCGCCCCGCTCCACCTCTGCCTTCTCAGCATCCCGCTGCCTCCGCGGAGACACGCATACTGATGAGCCAGAGCAAGCAGCCAATAGCACTCGACTGCCCTCCGCCTCCACGCCGCCTCTGATCCCTATTGGCCACTCCCACCTTCTGCACTTTGTAAACTGATCCTGCCTCCTCTCGCTCGCTGTCGGCACCAGGGAACGGACTCTACGTGAGGGTTGAATGTAATCTACGGAATCAAAGCTTACGATTTATCCATCCAGAATGAATACGACGGCACTTTTCGCTTCTCTCTACAAACGCTGAACAGAAACCTCCTCTTACTGCTTCTGCGCAGCAGGGACTGCTAATCAATCACTTGTTCGTTCCTCTATCAGAACACGGTAAGAAAACGGTCTCGGATCCCTAGGTAATGGTCACCTTAACCAGCTGGATATGGTTATTCAAAGAAAGGTCAATTGTAGTGCGCTTGTTCCATCAGAACTGCCAAAGTACACGTGCTACAGCAGAGTGCCCTATTTTGGAAAAGTTGGACAAAGTCAATTGCAAAAGGGAATGTAGTTTACTGAAAACCGCAGCTGGCGTCTTCCACTTCTATCTTAGTATGTGAGCACAGAGAATTATGCAAAACCTATTTTTGTTGTCTCTTTTTAATAAAATAAGAAAATGGAAATGAAAAAAAAAAGTATAAAATGTTTACAGTGGAACACGAGATAAAACTGTTTTCAGTGGACTAATTTCCTTTGCAAGTGTATTTTGTCTTTTTATATGTAATTGCAGAGTTTTTATTTTAGTATGGAAAATTTCAAAAAGTATATATCGCAGCCGTGAAGTTATTTAATGAAAGATTTCTAGAGCTGAAATTTTTGTGTAAAATAAAGGTATTATCTTGCAACTTGTTAAATATATTTATTCAGTCCGTGGACAGCATTTTTGTATTTTTTACAAGATGAGAATCAGTCGTCCCACATTCAGTTCGGTCGGTGGAGTAGAAGGAATATGAGAATTTTGTGGGGTCATCTTGAACCTTTGAATGTGACGTCACAATTTGGGTAACTACTGTGCAGTAAACAGCATCTTCCCATGTTTTGTTCATTCATTTGGGCCCAAAGCTCCCTTGATGGAACACCAGAAATTGGTGACCTGCTTTTTCCTCTCCATCCTTTTTTTTTTTTTATGTCTTCCTGGTACTTTATAATTTAAACAATTATTCTCATTTTCATTTTGAGTTCTTGACCAATTGAATAAATTCGTTGCTTCTCTCACCAGTATGTTAAGCCCAGGGGTTTCTTACTGATTGTTCCTTTTGTAAATAGATCTTTCAAAAAACCATGTATTTGAAAAATACATTTTACACAAACTGTAAAAATGATTTATATTATTTTTTAAACAGTACATCTTTGTATATTAATTTCTTTTCTATGTCAAGTTGGTAGAAGCATTAGCACATCTTTTGACTGTATATAATCGACCATTTAGGAACCTAAACCTAAACCCAAGCTGTCTAGAGTGATGACTATGTTGAACACTTATTGCTGTAGGCATCTATCAATTCACTGCGATGAAATTGTGAAAACTTGCTTCCCTGTGACTTCAGTTTATTTACAGATTCCTGAATGAAGAAATGAAGGCATTAGGTTCCTGTGCAAAGCCATTGTATCATTATGTAAAATAAGAGGTCTCTCATTTCTAATAAAGTTTTGAAATATTCAGAAATATTTTTCCTTCTTTATTAACTGGTTGAACATTCACAAAAACAAGACCCTTTCACCCCCATTTATTTGGCAGAAATACACTCGTATAGTTGACAAAGTAATATATTGACACTCACAATTTTCACATAAATCAAGTCAACTATTTTATTGTAAGAAATGTTTTTTATATATATAACTTATATAATTCAAGAGTATTTAATATGTGTGTGTATATGTATAGTATTTGCACATTCTCCCTTTAATTCATAGAATTAATATACAATCTTCATTAATTAAAGGTAGTGCAAATACTTAACATATGTAAACGTTTACTTAAGGAGAACTCTGGCGCAAAATGAACCTTTGGTCTAGTAAAACATTGGTACCTAGTCAACCGTTCTCTGAGATTTGTTTTCATGATAATCGAATGTAAAGAGTTTTATCTCTAAAAACTGTTTAGCGTATAACGCTAGTAATGGGGGCATCTAATAAGTAAAAAGAAATCGCTAGTTAATACCACTAACAAGGCTCAAAATAGCCCCACACGAACACAGTAACATAATGAGGGTCCCTACATGCAAAACGAAGCATTGACAACTTTGTCAGTGTCCAGACCGTTTAATAAGAAGATAAAGATAAAGACAGTCCACTTCGTGTATTTATCAGCTAATAAGAAAGCTACTAAAACTACTTTGTTGCTCAAAGAAATTATGGTTTCATTATAAATGACCTCCTGATTTTCTGAAGATTATTATTTATCTATTTCTAATGCTATTTATTTCTAATTACTTGTATTCATTTTGTGTATTTGTAGTTTCTGTGCATGTTTTGTGAACTTTTATTTGTTTTTTAGTAGACTATCCCTTATCTACTGCCTTGCTTGATTGTACTGTTATATTTATTTTATCTTTTTGTGCTTGATACTTGTATCCCCTGTACTTTTTGTTCATTAAAAAAAAAAGTCCACTTCGTGTATGCAGACAGGAGCCATCTTTGGAAAACAGTCTCGACTAATCAAACCATGAACGCCATTCATACAGTTCAGAAGTTCACTGAACTTCATACAGTTCAGCTCACTTAGCACGTCGTTCGTGGTTTGATTAGTCGAGACTGTTTTCCAAAGATGGCTCCTGTCCTGTGTACACGAAGTGGACTGTCTTTATCTTTATCTTCTTATTAAACGGTCTGTACACTTACAAAGTTCTCAATGCTTCGTTTTGCATGTAGGGACCCTCATTATGTTACTGTGTTAGTGTGGGGCTATTTTGAGCCTTGTTAGTGGTATAAACTAGCGATTTCTTTTTACTTATTATATGCCCCAATTACTAGCATTATACGCTAAACAGTTTTTAGAGATAAAACTCTTTACATTCGATTATCATGAAAACAAATCTCAGAGAACGGTTGACTAGGTACCAATGTTTTATTAGACCAAAGGTTCATTTTGCGCCGGAGTTCTCCTTTAAGTGTCATTGAATTGCAAAATAATTTCTTCAAGCAAAAATGTATTTATAATTTGGGGGGAACTTATATTTTGTGAGATTCACCCCACTAGTAGAGATTCAGAACTCATCCTTGTTAAGCATTTTGTTTTTATTTCATTAGATAAATTATGCATGAACAAAACTGAATATTAGAGTTGACTAACATTTCATTTTGCATTATTCTAACAAAAACAAAGATCTTTCACGTGGTTTTACAGTCAAAATGAGAGCGTCTGTCCTTTTTGGAAACCAAAAATCCCAACAATCCAGTAATCCGAAGAGCCGGAAAACGTGAGGGCTTCTCACACTACTCCCAGTGCCTGAGTCCCGTGTCCTGCTGCTCCAGTTTGGAGGGCCCTGCTCCACGCTGGAATAATGCTGTGGGGTTCAGTCCAGCAGCAGTTGACTATCGCGGTTGTCCTAACAAGCCGGCTTTAGCAGCCAAAGCTTCATTCTGCTGGATGTGATATTCCTGGAAGCGCATGGAGATCCTCTGCGTCATCTTTAGGTACTTTTGTAAGCAGCTCTCAGAACATGAGGTCTGGGAAGAAAAGTTGCATTCAAATCAAGTTCATGGTACTGTTTAAGATAACGCTTTATTTTAAGGTGACGGTTACACATTACTAAATGTACTTTAGTAATAACAGTAAATTATGCATAATTGAGCACAAAAGCAGCTTCTTTACTTAATTGCATCAGACCTTGTTCACAATGAGCGAGCTGGACCTTTTTCACAGACTGACGCGTTTAAATGGAAACACGTTTTAATCAGCATCTTAAGGCGAGACACTACAGGTGAATAGGGTAATTTTTTTAACTAGCAGATATCACCATGAAACTTTCCCAGTTGATTACCTACATTAAGATGAGAAAAAAATGTATTACAAGTTTTCTGTAATTTAATGTTTAAATATGCAAATCAGGCATTATCTAATTAAATATGCGCTAATTTGCATATATTTCAAAAAATGAAATCTGAGTATTGGATAAAGCCAGGTTCAAAATTCTTTTTTCATTGTGTTCACATATTAGATGGGGAAAAAATTACAGAGGGATTTATGGATATCTACTTTTGTTATCCTATAAATCAGAATATGCTGTCAATAGCCTTAAAAAAAAGATTTTTGCCATGTTTTTTGGAATAAAATGTTATATAAATCGGGCTAGGAATAATATATTTACAAATCCCTCTGTAAATATCTTCATATTATAACCAGGTACAAGACTGGAAAGTTTGGTGTATATAGGTGCTACCGAAGTGGAGATTTCGGACTTTGAGTATGAGAGAAAAGTCATTTTGAGAAAACGGGCTTTAAAGATTTAGCATCAGCCAATGAGATTGCGCATTTGCTCCCTTTTACTTTCACGATTGGTTGCTGATAAAAAGGAAATGACCATATTTGGATCCGACAACATTGTACAAGAGAGAGAGAGCTTTCTAACGGTGTATGTGATGACAGGGTGCAGATCGCGATCGCGGAGCAACGGATGATTTATATCACCAACTTTTGATGAATTTATGAGAAATCTACAGACGCAAACAGACGAAGTGTAGTAAAATAAAGACCTAAATGTGTATTTCGGACTTTTTTTCACCACAAGTCTGAAAGAAGACATGTTTTTGAAGACAAATCTCCCGAAATCTCAAAATTGACCAGTGAAAAAAAAACTATGTTTTTGCCTGCCGTGTCTGGCCTTAAATCCTGCAAAGTTTTTTTTATATATATGCATAACACTATATTTGTATTATATTACAAAAAAACTAGTCAATGCTGCTGTGAGGGTGTTTCAAATACAGCAGCTGTAACAGTAAAGTTGACATTTTGATCTTTCTCTCTTCTGACTGCCATTATCAATCTCTCTATATATTTATACTCTTTTTGAAAGTTATAAAACACTGTTGTGGCGTTGTTCTTTTGCCATTTGAGCAAATGGGAACACAAAAACTCGTTCACTGCTATAGAAGTTTACCCAACTATGACGACTTCCATTTCTGAGAAACCCATGTGAAAATGTGAGATGTGTCATCTTGCATCTAGCCAAAAATGATAAGCAATTTGGTAGTCCTTTAAGTATTTTGTATCTTTATGGTCCTATTAAGCCTGGTTATGAAAGTTAATATATGCGTATTTAAAATACATATTTTAAGTATTTTAAATACAAATTACAGTCTCTCAAAGTATTTAATTACAATTTCATTTATTTTTGTTAAGGAAAATACAAAATACTCAAAAGTAATTAAATACATATTTCAAATACATGTAATTAAAATACTGCCCATCTCTGAGTACATGTAGTTGACTAATATTACTCAGTAGTACTTATTTGAGTAAGTACAAAGTAACTATGTATGTCACCTTAAAATAAATTGTAACCCTGTTTAATAAAAGCTTAATAACTTAACATTTATTTTAAAGGATATTTAATTCAACTTAAATCACATACCTCCTCTGGCTTGACCTCTCTTGTAGTGAAATCTTTAACACAGTCCATGAAACAGTTTTCTGTCAGTTTATTATAGGTTCCCAGGAATTCTTTGAACTGCAAAATACAAAGATGATCAGTAAAAGGGTTACTGAATGATTTCATAACTACAAATAGACAATATAAGTGTATGGTATGTAAGGTTCCTCTTGCCTGTTTGATCTGATCTGATTCAGTAACCTGAGCTGCCATAGTTACAATACAGTAGGATGCTGTCAATGAAATTGAATAACATTAGTCACACTAAGAGCATTTAAAACAGTAGACCTCCCTGTTCTCACTGACAGCGCACAAATTGCTTAAAATATATTACGTTACGTTCTCTTACGAGCAATGATGATGATGAGAGGCTAGATTAGCCTTTAGCATCATCTCACATGTACATTTATAACACAGGCTATGCGAAAAATGTCTTTCAAAATAAATAAATTAATAATAGCTTTGTAGTAAATAAGATTTAGACCATAAACGTAGTAAGAAGGAAGGGACGTAAAACACAGTAAAGCGGATACCTTTGCTGTCAGGCAGTCAGAGCTGAAGGACATGTGAGAGAACAGAACGGAATCGGCACTTCCGGAACAAATAAGAGTCCCTATGAATTAAACATTAAAAACATGTATGAGGGAATTCAATATCCTTTACGAATCCTTAAAAAATTTGCATCAAAAAAGCCCTTAAGGTGTGTGTTTGGAGGTGTATTATGATGGTGATGATTTTTAAAAAAAAAATAGTTTGCCTTTGGTCTGTAATACTCATCTTGTTTAACATGTAATGACATGATAAACAATCAAAGACAACCATCCCTTCTTTTGATTATTTTTTTTTTTTTATCTTACTATCTTAATATTAAAACATTAAATACTGTAAAACAGGTAAACATATTCTGATAACGACCCAATGGGGGCAGCAGTGTAAAGACTTCTTAGACCAAAACAAAGAGAAGACAACCCTTTATTTTGAAATATGTTTAACGTCACGCCGTTGTTTCCTTCCAAGATCACAGTTGTTGTGAAGTTTTTGTTGTCGGCAACTAACGTTACTGACGCTGTGAAAATAACTGGACTTACAGCTGAAGTGAACTGAAAAAAAGCACCCTTTGGATATTACGGTAAAATACTAAAATGTAGACGTGGTTTAATAAAATAACAAATGAGAGAGGCTGTTCAAAACTGATGCTTTAAAAAATCACCTGCGGCGGGAAATTTAAAACCAATACATTACTGACAACAACGTCAGAGTGATTGACGTGTGTCATCTGTGGATATCTCTGGGAAAACGATTAACAATAATCGTTATGTTGACGTCACCCTTACGGTAAGACTGTTATTGACGCTTTAATGGATCCGCACAATATTATTATTAACCGTCTAAAGACTTAAAAACAACCGACACCTCTTATTGGACTGTCTTATTACTGATGTAAAAGTGGAAATGGATTCTTATTGTGTGTCTGTGATCAATAACACACATTTAAACGACTCTACGTCTAGTTCTGATGCAGCAGATGTTTTAATTCAGTCAACCAGAGCTGCTTTGGGTGCCAGCAGAGAGGAAAAACAGCATACGAGTCATAATAAAGTTAATATTTACATCAGGAGACTGACAGACTCTGAACATGTTCATTCTGTGGATGAGAGAGAAATACCACCTGTCCTCCCTGTGAATATCCTTTCAGCTGCAGATACAGGTAACACTATCAGTCTGGTTTTAGTTCAATTAATTATCATTTTTAAATGATCAAAAGAATAAATTCATATTTATCTGAACTCAGCTGGACCAGATGAACAACAGGCTGTTGGACCATCAAATACATTTGCTAACCTTTTTGACAAAGTGAGATTTTGTTTACTTTGGTTTACTTATGTTTGTTTTTAATGAATCTAAACTTAAATTGATTAAAATATTTTGTAATTGTTTATGTTAATTAACAAAAGTGTCTGTCACATAGGCCTCCAGGAAAGAGAAAGGTAAAGCTCAAACTACAGTCATGCAGACAGGAAACTTAAAATCAAAAGGTATATTATATTATATTATATTTTATTATTATACAGGGGTTTTCAATCTTTTAGATGCCAAGGACACCCAAATATGATCATAATTTAAAAAGCATCTATATAGGCTAGTTTCTTGTTTAAAGACCTAATTTATACTGTGAAATATTATATATATATATATATATATATATATATTAATATATATATATATATATATATATATATACATATATATGTATGTATATATATATATATATATTATTTGGAAAATATTTATTTAAGAATAATGAAAATAAATATTTTCTTATTATGTTTCTTTTTTCTACTCATAGTACTGAAGATTAATATTTATTTACTTATTTATTGTATTCTTTTTATTTATTTGTTTTCTCATTTATTATTTTTTTCATCTAAATTTGTCTTGTTTTAATTTAATTAATTTTTTTTATTATACAGTTTTTCTTCTAAATTTTTCCATGGAAAAATGTGAAAACCCCTTATATATTATGTTATATTGGCATATATTAGTACCATGTAGTAATATGCCTATTATATAGTTTTGTATTATAAACTTTTTCAAGTGCTGAATGCCACCATTGTAAATTGATTTGACCTTTCTGAACACCACAGGTGGAGATGTGCAGATTTCTACATACTCTGCTGATGGGAGAGGAGCAGTGTCTGCAGCCCTCAGGAAGAGGTAACGTCTGCTTCCATTCAGTCGCTTCTATGATCAAACATGGTCATTTTGCACACCTGGATATTTCACTATGTCTTTCAGATCACAAAGCGCCCCTTTAAGACGAAATGTGACAGTACAAGTGTTGGACCAAGACAGATCCCAGACTCCAAGAGGCCAGTCCGATCCTGCTTTTCCATTAGGAGATCCTGGGACTTCTGCAAGTGTGGCAGCTATAACAGCTGCTACTACTGCTGCCACAGCACCACTTATCAAGGTAGACCTTCTTGGATTCATATAGCATTATAACATTCTTAAATTCATAAATCAATACAGTATTCTAGCAGTCTCCTTAAACTGTCTTTGTTTGGCCCATCAGGCTCAGAGAGAGATGGAGGCTCAGATCGCACTGGTAACTGCTGAGCTGAGGAGGTTGCAGGCAGCAGAGGGCAGTGTCCCGCCGGGGAGGCCGGCCAGGACTGAGAACACTTCTGCTGGGAGAGCGGCCCATCTGGAAGAGCAACTTAACATTCTGATCCAGCAGAGACTGCAACATCTGGAGACAATTCAATGTCAGCAGATTCAACTGCAGGTAAAGAAGGCAAGATCTCTGTTCAGATCTGGAGATGCAGAATCTGCCTTTTTTAATAATTTTTTTAATGTTATTTAATGCTATTTTTTTATTTTTGTTTGTTTGTTTTTACTTCTTACTTTTTGTCTTATTCTGTTTTGTTTTTTATTTTATTTTGTTGTTTTTCTACTTTTGTTTTATTTTATTTCTGTATTGTTTTGTCTTGTTTTTATTTCATTTTAATTTTTTTCTCTTTGTTTTGTTTTCAGTTTTTTTTAAGTTTAGTTTTTTGTTTTTTATTTTGTTTTTGTTTTGTTTTTTATTTTTGTTTTATTTCATTTTTTGGTTTGTTTTGACCTGTTTTTGTTTCATTTCATTTTATTTTTGTTTTATTTTATTTTTTTATTTTAAGTCTACTTTTAATGTTATGCAAGGTTTATTGTACCAAAAACATTCATAATTTAGTTTTCATGTTTCCCACCCTCCTTAACCTGTGAAATATATTTGCTGCTGTAAACATCCCCAGTTATGATATGCTGACCTCAGTATAGAAGTATAGTTTCCATTGTTGTTCATCAGGGCGAAGAATGGCTAAGTACCAAATACTGAACAGAGTACATAGCATATTGAACTCTTTTATTTGGAAAAAAAAGACTTCTGTTTTAAGCAGTCACGTGTTGTTGTATAGCATCTTCTTCATTTCAGAGATCTGGTTTCAGATTTGCTTCATAATTGGTTGTGTTTGTCAATGTGTGCATTACTGTTTCATATGACGCAGCTCACAGGCGCTCTCTCCTCTGCCTTTAGAATCGTCTCTTGGGCTCGGCTCTGGATGTCGTAGCAGCTCGTGCGAACACAGACTCGCAGTCCACCCTGCACACAGGCTCTGGAATCACCCAGACAGACTCTCTGCCAGTTCAGATCTCCGGGAGTCGCAGCATCAGACTCTTTTCCCCTGATCAAACCTCTGCTAGAAGCCCAGGCTTCGGTAAGTTGTGGTATATTTGTCTGAATATTTTCACAATCTAAAATGGCAATATGCAGATTGTGTCTCAAAGGAGGAGTTAATCACCATGACATCATTTTTTTTAGAAATTAAAATGAGTAATAATATGAGCCCTTCTAATAATAATTTATGTTTTGTCCTGGTCCATTGTATGCTAATCTGATATAAATCATGCACTTTTATCTATAAATGCAGTGACACTAAGAAGCATTTTGACACTTTTGGATTTTTTAAGGGGTCCTATTAAAATATTGTTTACATTTTAAACTTTCTGTAGTGTGTAATGTTGCTGTTTGAGCATAAAAAAGCACAAAGTCACTCCAAAGTGAGTTATTCTCCATTTCAGTAGGTACAATTTTTACTTCTGAAATTCCTCAAATGTACTCACCTCAAATGAGTTTTCCCAATATTCCTAATTTAAATAATTACCGCCAAATGCATACGCAAAAAAAGATGCAAGGCCTGGTTGAGTTGTGTAAGTGTGTTGAAATAATCTCATAGTTATGGTAAGGGGCGGTCGAAGCGGTTGACCAATCACAACACACTGGTTGTCCAGCTGACCAATCAGAGCACATTGCACTTTTTGCAAGGAGAGGCTTCATAGAGACAGGAACTAAACAGAGCGTTAATGAGAGACCGGGAAGAGAGGTGCTGCAACAATGTAAAATATGTCTTAAAAATAAAGCATAAAACCTATTCTAGTAGACCTTCAAGTCACATGACGTCAGTTCCCCTCAAGTTCACAAAGGTGTCTTAACAGAATAACCACAAGTGTAGTTCATCATATTAACAATAAACATGTTTGACAACCATAGAGTGTTCAATACTTTTTTTGTCTTCATTTGAAATATTTGTTT